ATTCACCTTAAAAGACAAGGCAAAGTATTGGTTTAACAATCTTAGGCCTTTTTTAATCACTTCTTGGGCAGAAATGCAACAAGAGTTGTTGAAGAAGTACTATCCGGTTTCAAAAACCAATGCTATGAGAACTTCAATTAGAGAATTTACACATGGGGATAGAGAAATGTTTCATGAGGCATGGGAACGCTTCAATGAGTTGCCTAGGAAATGTCTACATCATGACATGCCTAAATGGTAATTAGTTCAATATTTCTTTTAGAGCTTATCGGACAACTATAAGGGTATGGTTGATGCTTCCATGGGTGGCTCATACATTGATAGGCATGAGGATGACGTGTGGCGTCTTTATGAGAGCATGAGTGAAAATTCTTTGCATAGAACATTATCATCCAAGAATGGTAGAAATTCACAAGGTAGGAAAAGTGTTGGCTTACATCAAGTCGACCATTCAAATGAAATAGCTGCCGAAATGAAGCCTTTATCTCAAAGGTTTGATCAATTTTTGATTAACCAAAACTCGGCGAACCAAGTATCTTCTTTCCCTAACCATTCTCATCGTGCATCAAATGAATTATGTATGACTTGCTCTAGTGTTCTTCATTCTACTTCTTATTGTCCTCACGGACAAGTGCAAAATGAAGCCAATGAACAAGTCAATGCAGCTTTTGTGAACCAAGGAAACAATCCATATGGTACTCATTATAATCCAAGTTGGAGGAATCATCCGAATTTCTCTTGGAAAAACCAAGGAGAGGGCTCAAACCCTTCCCAAGGCGGTTTTCAAGGGAAGTATATTTCACCTCCACTTCAAAACCAAGGATCCCAAGGTTATAGACCTTATCAATTACAAGGGATTCAATTTACTAATTCTCATTTTCCTAACCAATCTTATTCCCAAGGAAATACTAGAAGTCCCGCTTTTGAAGAAAAAGTTTTAAATGCTTTGGGCACTTTAGAGGCTAACATACAATTGCTTCATTTTCACTCTCAATCCATTGCGAAGCTAGAAACCCAAGTAGGGCAAATAACAAGCACTCTTAATGCAAGGGAGAAGGGAAAGATGCCTATTAATGTCCTATCTAAGCAACAATGTGTTGTGGAAACCCATTCCTCATCGGAAGGCCACACCATTGAACATGTTAATGCGGTGACTACCTTGCGGAGTGGTAGAGTTGTGGACAATCAAGTAGAAGTGTCCAATAAAGAGAGTGAACCGATGTAACCTCTAATTGTCACCCGTCCCGTTTCATATCCCATTCCTCATGCATTATATATACATGATCTTGTGAATGAGAAAGTCTTGAAAAATGTGTTTGAAAAAGAAGTTTTTGAAAACTTTTTGTGCTGAAAAATGATTTGAAACAAAGTGATTTGAAAACTTTTTGTGTTGAAGAGAGTTTAAAAGAAAATTCTGAAAAAGTTTTTGAAAAAGTTCCATTTATAGATGCCTTAAAAGGGTCCATTTCAAAGGCAAAAGGCAAAAACCAATGAAATAATGAAAATGTTTAGGCAAGTAAAAGTTAATCTTCCACTTTTGGATGCAATCAAGCAAATTCTGGCTTATGCCAAATTCTTAAAAGACTTGTGCATATAAAAGCGGAAGAACAAGAGCCAAGCACCAAGAAAAGTGGTTTTGACCGAGCAAGTAAGCTTAATTTTGCAACATAACACTTTGCCAAAGTTTAAGGACCTCGGTTCACCTACTACTTCATGCATCATTGGTGATCATATCATTAATCGGGTGCTTCTTGACTTAGGAGCAAGTGTTAACTTTCTTCCATACTCGGTTTATGTCAAATTGGGCCTAGGTGAATTAAAACTGACGTCTGTAGTTTTGCAACTTGCCGACCGATCTATCAAGAAGCCTAGGGGTGTCATTGAGGATGTTTTGATTAAAATTGATAAATTCTTCTTCCCGGTTGATTTCGTTGTTATTAACACGGAACTAGTCCCAATCCTAAAAGCCAAATTCCCGTTATCCTTGGCCGTCCTTTCTTGGCAACCGCTAATGCCAACATCAATTATAGGACGGGGTTAATGAAGATCTCATTTGGCCACATGAAGGTGAAGTTGAATATCTTTAATCCCACACCCAATTCATTTGACAAATATGAATGAGAGGTTAATGTTGTAGATAAATGTCATGATCTTTAATGTCAAGGAAGTGAGCTTTTGTGTAAGACCAAAACTTCAAAAAGATCATCTTCAACCTTGCATTATAAAATTCTTGCTTTGAAAGGGCATGGAAGCCCAAAGATTGTTATTGCATTGACAAGGGATCAAAAGTTTCATTTGAGCTTAAGCCAACAAGTTCTTCAAAGAACCATTTGTTGGGTGGAGTTCAAAGCATCTATCACCCCAACAAGGAAGGGATGCATTACAAGATCTTTGATCCGGGCTAAAAGAGCCCAATGTCTTGCTAGAGACATTAAAGACTAGCAAAAGCATTTCATAGGGTGTCAAAACCCTATTCCTTCCTCATTTCTATCTTAAATTTCATTTCTTGTGAAGTCTAGATACTTGTTTTTGGTTCATATGCATTGATATGAACTTTGATTAGGATTGCATGAATTTTGGTGTTGTGATTGAGCATTTTGCATAAGTTCGATCGATCTCAAATGAGAGTTCGATCGATCGAACTTCCAGCTGCATCCAACACTTAGAAAAAATTTTGACCTGCATCCACCTACATCCAAATCACCTCTCTGTCCCATCGTTCCAAATAATTCTCAGATCGATCAGAAGACCTTAGATCGATCCAACTTCAAAGTTTGATCGATCTCGTGCTCCAACACTTAGAAAATTTTGAGCCTACATCAACCTGCATATTCACCTCTCTGTCTCATCGATCGAACACATTCCAAGATCGATCTGAAGTTCTTCGATCGATCCAACTTCAAAGTTCGATCGATCTTCAAGTTCCAACACTTAACCAAATTTTTGAACCAAAAACCTGCATATTTTTTTCCCTTTGTCTGATCGATCGAACATTTTGTTCAGATCGATCTCAGTTCTCCACTTCTCTATTTTGACCATTGTTTGACTTTATTTGACTTTTTAATTTTCAAAAATCCAAAAATATTTTTATTTTATTTTATTTTCCAAAAATTCAAAAATATTTTCTATTTTTCAATTTTAATTTTATTTTTTAATTTTTTATTTTATTTTACTTTTCAAAAATTCAAAAAAAAAAAATCCAAAAATATTTTATTCTATTTTATGTTATTTTATTTTACAATTTTTTTAATTTTAATTCTAATTTTTAATTTTAGTTTTTCATTTTTCAAAAATTTCAAAAAAAAAAAAAAAAAAAAAAACTTTGAGGAGAGTTCATCAAAGTTCGATCGATCTGAAATCTCAGTTCGATCAATCGAACTAATAAGGAAATGTTTTTAAAAATAAAGTTGAGAGTTGTGAGATCGATTACAAAGATCGATCCAGCAACTCCTTACCCTAACCCTTGCTTCCTTCATCGTCGCCGTGAACCCTAATCACCCTTTCCATTTCCAACGAGCCTCCGGCGAGTTCCAACCTTTGATTTTCTCTCTCTCCTCTCGGATTTGCATCACCATTTTCCTCTCCTCTTCTCTCTCGACTAGAGGTGAGATCCGAACCACACTTTGTCATTTCAAGCTTTAATTTGATAATATATATTGCCTACATGCTAGATCTAGGATGAATGATGATGAAATCCACCATTGATGAGCTTGAAGCATGTTTATATATATGTTTGTATATATGTGTATATATGTTTTTATATTTTTGATTATATTTTTGATTTTTAAATTGATTATGGGAGTATGGGCCTTGTTTGGGTGATGGTAATTGATGATTTGTTGTGTTGATGGGCCCACGACCTTGTTCGTGTGGTCCCCATGCTTCTAAAGTTACAGATCTGTGACCTTTGAGTTTTCACCTTCGCACAGTTCGATCGATCGAACTTGTATCTCAGATCGATCTTGAGAGATCGATCGAACTCATACCTCAGATCGATCAAAGTTTTGAGATCGATCTCAAACTTTTTTGTAATCGATCGAACTTCACAGATCTCTCACACACACTTCATTCATCATGCCTTATGTTCATGTTATCTCATATATGCCCAATGCCTGTGACATTCCACATTGGATGCATTTTATACTTACATTGTTTAGCATGTTTCATATCTTGTCACTTGCATAGATACATGTCATATATGTTTTGTCTATCATATTTGACATGCATGTTTCTATTTTGTGCTTTCAATTCTTAATTCTGGAACTAACTCCCTTTACAAGTTTTTAAATTATTTTTCAGGCTATGACTAATCGCAAAACTGTTGCCAAAAGGCAACACGGGCCTCAGAGACATATTAGACCACGGATAGAGGAGCCAGCAGAGCCCTCTCATGCACAGGAGGAGCCAGTACAGCCTACTCCACCTCAGTCAACTGTTCATGAGGCTGAGGATGCTCATATTCCATCCACCTCTGCAGCTCAGCTTGCATTTACACCATCACGATCTCTATCACATGCTGGAGCTGAGCATTCACTAGTATCATCTCCACCACGCCAGCCAGCTCAAGAGCGTGATAAGCCCGCGCCTAGATATGCACATATGGCAGTAGACCATGAGTCGGTGTTCGACACAGACTTTTTCTCCAGATCGGTGTTGACCCGATCAGCTCACCACGACATTATTCAGAGGGGCCTTGCAGCTATTCTTGCCCCAGTTACAGAGCCAGTTTACCCGCGCCTGGTACGGTTGTTCTTCCAGAACCTCCGACCATCCCTGTGTACCACAACAGAGCTGGTCACTTCCATAGATGGCCATCAGATCACTATCACTATGGACTCGCTAGCCAAATCATGCCATTGTCCACACCGATGCCCTCCGGAGCTACAAGAGCTATATCCGAGGCTATACAGGCCTTCTTATGCCGACATGGCAGTATTTCTTACAGGTCACCATGCCGATGGCGAGACTTTCGCCACCCGCACATTCCTTCCAAATGACCTATGGTTCTTCGATTCCATTCTCTTTCGGAATATATATATGGTCGGGCACAAGATCCAGCGGAGAGAAGACTATCTGACAGCCTTCTACGCATTCCACACAGGCCACTGGGTATCTATTCCCGCGCTCATCTGGAGCGTGATGAGGAAGCTATTTGACGAGTATATCAGCAAGAAAAAGCCCGGAAGGGCTAAGTCTCTCCCTTTTGGCCACCTCATCACCGAGATTCTGATCGACCAGCGCTACCCTATTCATCCTCGGGAGCACCCTGAGAGAGTTTCCTGTCACTTCTTAAAGAAAGACTGGGACAAGAGCTACAATGCTATCATTACTAGACTGTAGGACCACGTAGTAGTGGCTGTAGAGGAGTTAGAGGCTGAGGAGGTAGAGGCAGCAGCTGAGGCAGCAGCAGCAGATCCTGCAGTGGACGATGCACTAGTCGGTCCAGCTGCCGAGCATATAGATATTGATTTGGAGCGACCTGTAGATGATACAGAGCAGCACTCTCTAGCTAGGTCGCCCATTCACGAGCAGGAGCAGACTCAGGATTTTCATTCTTCTGACTCTTCTATACCTAAGGCTCCAGATCAGACCCCCGGCTTTGGAGTATGCCTGCAGACTCTTGAGGATGCTGTTGTCGCTATACGAGCTGATCTTACGGCCCACAAAGTTGATTTTGCTACCTTCTGTATGGATGTCGCCACTATGTTACGAAATCTATCCAGAGATATCCGCGGAGCCCGACCTGCCCGTCCTGCCTCATCTTCCTGAGATTTCAGTTTCTTCTATCTTTTCATGATCCTTCTCCACTATTGATACTTTACTTTTATCACTGTATAGTACTATTATTTTTACAGCCGATCTGTCGGCTTAAATCTTTTGACGTTCCAGTACTTTATTTTCTATTTATGCATGCTTTTATTATGGATGTCATATATTATATTCTCATATTTGTATGTTTGACTCCATCAGGTGCATCACAGTGATTTTAGTGAGAGAGTGCTACCCGATTTTCAAGACCACCCTTATACATCTCTCATCTCTTTATCTGTTTATCCCATTTACACTTGCATGTCCACTGTGCACTAATTATCCCATTTTCTTTTATAGATGGGCCATATGTCCCATAGCAGAGGCTTGTTCCCACCGGTATAGACCTAATAGTCTCATCTGGAATTGGGGCCGTTTAGAAGTACACATGCATCCCTTGTGGGCTTCGTAGATGGGCCATATGTCCCTTGTTGTATCTTTCAGCTAGGCTGGATTGGGCCAATTTTATTGTCCCTTGATCTTGGCTTTTTAGCCTCTCACTGTACAGTTTTTTCCTCATTAATAAATTGCTTTATAAAAATAAAAATAAAAAATAAAAAATAAAAAATAAATTATAAACACGCACTTACTATGCATAGATTGTATAGAATAGTGTACGGTTGCTAATATCACCATCGTACCATGTGCATGCATATTTTAAGCTATGAGTGTCCAATCATATACTTCTACCATATTATGAAATTTTTAAAGAAAAAAAAAAATACAAAATCGGTGTCAGCATTTCCATATTTCCATTACCAAAACAAAATTTCATAAATGATATCAATTAAATATTTTGTAAATCTTCACTACCAAACCAAAAACCACAAAGCAAAAGAAAGTAAGAAACACTTTATTTTATTTGTATATATATCTCAATTAATGAGATGATCATATAAGCACTTTATTTCTTTCAAATTTTAGGATTGGAATTTATTCATGCAAACATCGAGTTCCTTCTCAAAGTAAAACAAGATGGATATCCTCGTTGGTTTTCTATTGTTTTCCCTGCAATGGTTGATCTTTCTAAAGCAAAAGGTCTGGAGATTGTCTTCCCTGACGAGCTCAAAGGGGAAGTGTTGGATGTTTTCTTCCACAGGCAACAGATTCTTGAAATGTAAATTCTTACCTATAAATATGCATATATTCATATTTATATTTTTAAAATTATTGTTGAACACCAATATATTAAATTAATCAGTAACATGCATGCATGTATTTGTAGGGAAGAATTTGTTGATAAATACCATTATCCTCCACTGTTGTCATATTTGGAGGCCTTGCCATCAACATATGATATTGATCAAGAAGATGTAGTGATGCACTTGAATGTATCAGACGGCTCGTTGTTCCAATCACCTTCTGCCACGGCATACGCCTATATGACTACTGGAAATCAGAAGTGCATGGGCTACTTGGTCTCTCTAGTTCGAAGATGTCGTCATGGAGGTTATGAAAAGCTTCTTAATTCTACATATGATTTTATATTACCAATTATCAAGGCTTCATTAATTTCTGTATGTGTGTAGGAATTAATGTTTATATAGAATTCTGAATTTGTTTTTTGGTGCAGTTCCTTCAATTTATCCCATGGATGAGGAGCTCATAAAGCTTTGTATGATAAATCAAATTCAAAGATTAGGGTTGTCCGAGCATTTCAATGAGGAGATTGAAGACACTTTATCAGAGGTGTACAGGTAATGTATCATATATATACAATTAAGATCCAAATAATGAGATTGAAACTTAAAACAGTTAATAGTTAGTGCGCGCTTAATTAGAATATACTAAATTTTCATTTTTATGAAACAACACCCTACTAATTAATATGCGGATTATTGTTATGTACTAACCTCATTAGTCTTTTTGAAAATTTTAACTCGAACACTCAGGATGTATAAGAAACAAGAATCACCGACAACAAAAGATAAATTAGCACCGGCAAAAATATACAAGGATGCTTTGGCTGTTAGGCTTTTGCGGATGCAAGGGTACAATGTGACCCCATGTATGTCTTTTAGACCTTTCATGTAAATACTCCTTAATTTTGTGTCATAATAATTTTGAAATTTATAACGTGCAGGGACTTTTTGTTGGTTTCTACTCCATGAAGATTTTGTAGCTCATATAGAAGAAAACTTTCAAGTGTTTACAAGTGCAATGTATAATGTTTATAGAGCAACAGATCTTATGTTCTCAGGAGAATATGAACTAGAGGAGGCAAGGTCATTTTCAAGGAAATTACTTGAGAAATCCATGAGTACATTGGGAAACATAAATGATAATCTTTTCATGTTACCAAATTTTCAAAATTTGGTAATTTTCTATTCCTAGCTTATATTCTTTTTTGATTGATAATCCAACTCCAAGTTTCTTGCACTTACCAAATTTAATAGTCCATCACCAATGGCTCTAACGTAGTATATTAATTTTGCATAGATTGAGCATGAGTTGGCAGTTCCATGGATTGCTCGCCTTAATCATCTGGATCATAGAAAGTGGATTGAATTTAATAACGTCCACTCTCTGTGCATTGGAAAGGTCTCCTTCTATAGGTACAAGTCAGTCTTTAGATTTTTAAATTTCATACTAATATGATTGATATTTTTAATGAAAAAAAAAACTATAAAATGTTAGGTTATCATGTCTTCAAAATGACAAGCTAATGCAACTTGATGTGGAGAACTATGAGTTTCGGCAATCAATCTACAGGAAAGAATTGGAGGAACTTAAAAGGTACATGCACACACACACACACACACACACACACACACAACCATGACAGTTATATTTATGCATATATAGTGACATGTAATTAAGCAAAATGGCTTGTCTATTTCATCATTAGGTGGTCCAAGGAGTGGGGTCTTAGCGAAATGGGATTTGGGAGGGAGAAAACTACTTACTGTTACTTTGCCATTGCAGCCAGTAGTTCTGTTCCTCACAATTCCCCTGTTCAAATGGTAGTTGCCAAGAGTGCAATACTTATTACAGTTGCTGATGATTTATATATATATATATATATATATTTATAATATATATAATAACAGATGGGATGGTAAAGGCTTAAGTGGCCATGGTAAGATTATCTTTCATGCCCTTGACAATTTTATGAGGGACATTGCAGCGAAACAACTCCATCCACAAGGGAGTGACATAACAAATGATCTACAAGATATAGTAAGCTTTTTTACATGTGTAGTTCAACTAGTTACTTCACAAATGCTTGAGCTCTTTATCAACTAAAGCTTGAAATAATTTAGAAAATCTTGTGTGAAAGTGGGGCGAAACATTTGTTTCGTGGCTAACAGAAACTACATGGAGCAAGAGCGGATATATACCATCCATCGATGAATACCTTGAAACAAGCATGATATCGATTGCTACGCACACTATTGTTCTTTTTGCTTCGTGTTTTATGAGTCTGAGCTTGCCCCACAAACTACTCAAGCCCACACAGTATGAACCTGTCACGAAATTGCTCATGGTCATTGCTCGTTTGTTGAATGACATTCAAAGCTACCAGGTTATTAGTAGTTAATCAATGTACCTTTTCATGAACATGTAAACATTTTTTCTTTCAGAAAGTTCATGTACACACACACACCCCCAGAATGTTGCTCTGTCATGGTCAAACACTCAACTTCTTCTTTTTGAATGAGAGATCATAATATCTGAATTAATGCCCACTAATAACATGAAAGCATTCTAAAAAATCTCATATATATTCATATATTGTGCAGAAGGAACAAGAGGATGGGAAGATGAACCTTGTTTTGCTTGATTTGGAAGAAAATCCACGTGCAGACATTGAAAGCTCAATCACTAATGTAAGGGAGATATTGGAAGAAAAGAAGAAAGAGTTACTTGAACATGTTTTGATGGATGGCTTTAATGATTTGCCCAAACCATGCAAGCATCTCCATTTATCATGTTTGAAAGTATTTCAGATGTTTTTCAACTCAAACAACCGATTCGACTCCAAAACAGAACTCCTTCAAGACATAATGAAATCAATTTACAATCCATTGGAATACCAAAATCGAAAGGGTGTGAAGACTGTACCATCGATTCAGTCGAGACTGAAGAAGGAATATATGATCATCAACTCGGTTCGTTACAATCAAATCTTCAAACATCATGGAAGTAGAAGTTTTTTTGTTAGACAACACTTTGTTCCAAAGACTATATCAAGAAATGTCTGCGCAAAAGTGTTCATTCCTCTGAAACTCAGTTTATGCTTCATTTGAATCAGTTTGATATTAGCATTAGCTGCATATGTATTTTAAGGCCAGCCTACAATAGCTGGAGTATGGTACTTGCATGTCTTGTTGCTATGTGATAAGTGTGTCATATATATATGAATCAATTGGTGAAACATGTTTTGTTCTTGATTTAATCTAGAAGTGTATTCTCCAATATATGATTAATTGGATCTATCTATAGGCTCGACCTAGTGATCTTATGCTAACATCATACCACAACTCATTCACAACGTGTTACCTCACCACAATCCAGAAATCCCTGATAAATTACTCTAGGTTCCTTCACCATCGCACTCAATTATCTCACACAACATATCCCCTCTCCCCTGGACACACCTGGTATGGTCTAAACCAATGATTCCTAAGCACTCATTCATTTTTTGGCTTGCTATTCAGTCAAGACTGGCTACATTAGACAGGGACTGCACATCATTTTTGAATGCTCCAAATCTGTGTATATTGATTATATTACCCTTATGGTATGAATCATATATGTCCAAGGATTAAGTCAATCATTATAGGGACCTTGATATGATCTGTATGATTAGTGTATTTTGTCCTTATATTAGAGGCCTAGACTTGAGGTATCGAATCAAATGCAACAACATTACTTTACAACAAGACTAGCTCTCACCAAGCCTATATATATACCATCCATGGTCTTCATATGACTTTGAAAATGAATTTGAGGTTTCCGTTGAGTGACACTTAAGTTTTATAAATAATTTGAAATTTTGAGCAAGTAATTAGTTAGCTTGTTGAGGTATCAAGTTGTGATGGTTAATTTACTAACACATTGTACATACCTTTTCTTTGTTTTGAATTTAAGGTCTGTGAGATTAGTTTGGGGCTGGGCCAGGCGCTGGGTTGTAGTTTTGAAATGTTCGTCGGCCGGCCTTTGCCGTGAGTGCCTTTGGGCTCGCTGGTTGGGCTTACTTTTACTAAAACCCAACTCATTGTGTGTGTGTGTGGGGGGGGGGGGGGGGGGGGGGGGGGGTGGGTGTTGGGGCGGGCGGGCTTACCTCTCCTATGACATTGTTGCCTGCTACTGGGGTTCAAAATCTACGAAAGGTGCCCACACACGTCTCGCGTGTCCTCATGTAAACTGTCCCTTGACACATTCATAGTCAAAATTTGGTTTCACATATATATATTATCTAATTAATTAATTGAATTTCTTAGAAAAATCCAAGAATATACGTATATATGATCAATCCTCATTTATGTATGAGTTGACTTGGTTGACTATCACTATCAGATTATTGTAACCTTGTACATGTACATGATTCTTGTTTTGGCTAAAAAGAGAAGACAATCATTCTCTAACTTGTTTATTATTATTTTTTTTTTCACTGTATGTGTATATTTTGTCATTGAATTTACAGCCTTTAGTTTATTCTATTTTGTATGTTCAGGATGTCCATGACAATAAGGTTTATAAACTAGAGCTAGATTAACAAATTTCGTGGCGTTGATTATGTTAGGTTTGTAGCAAAAAATTTGTGCACACAAAATTAGTTTCTGTAATGACTCGAATAGATACCAAATTAATAATAAAAATCTATAAAAATTTCGGCATGACTTCCGCAGAAAATGTCCCTCAACAACTTGTAGAAATACAAAAATAAATGCAATGGCCTCACTAGGCCTTAAATCTAACTTATCCTGTCCTAACGCACAATTCAAATATTATACTATATTCCCAAAATGGTTACATACATACAAAAGTCCCGTTCCTCCATCTCATCCAAACATGGAACCCACTTAAGTTACATCAAATTACAGTCCATAAAATATAGCTAGAATTAAAAGTCCATAACTTATAACATTATACTAATTAAACTAAAGTGTCATAAGGTAGTTAATATTACATTTACAAAATACTAGAGTCTAATACAAAAGATAACAAAATAGAATGGTTCTTCAAGCTCATCTAAACCTGTGGGGGACCGTCATCCGCCACCTTTTTTCCATATCCTGAAAAAATGTTAAAAATAAGGGAGTGAACACAAGCTCAGTAGGAAGTGTCTAAGACACACTTCTTATGTTCCCGTGAATCCATGCAATGAATAAATAAAAAGTGAATGGGATCATGCTATCGGGAAACGCACATTCTCAACCACAATAACAAGTATATTACAAATATCAACCAATCACAAATTTACCATGATGTCATGAAGTGCAATGTTATGCAAATGTTACTCCTCATTTCCGAAACAATTCCATTTCAATAACCAAACCGTTAGTGTAGTCCGACCCAAGGCACCTCCGTGGCGTCACGAAAGGAAGGTTGGTTAACTATCCACGACCACAAGGCACCTCCAAGGCGTCGCATCCGGCCTAGTTAACTCAACTACATTTCCTTTTAGACTACACCAACATCACAGACCACTAGGCGCCTCCTAGGCGTCCGGTTTTCGCAACACTTTTAGAAAATATTTTCCCCAAAACAATTTTATTTGTTCTAACAATTATTTTTCCCTCTTTCTATTTCCCAATGGATGCATGAATGCTTCATGCTTCAAATTATTAATTTAACTATATGTTTTCACACATTTCCATTTACATCATCATCACAATTTAATGAAAATTTCTAAACATTCATTTCCTTTATTTATTTATAACCATAGCATCCATTTTTCTTCAAGACAATAAATAAAAAAATAATCATGGAACATACAACACATCAAACACTAAGCATACTTATTTACCGTAATGAAAATAGACATGTATATGAACTCAAATAACACAAGGAACACAATTATCATTGTAATTACAAAGAATTATAACAACAACAAGCTAAGTAATTAAAATTTAGCATGCTTAGAATCAAATTTAGGAGGAAAAATTCACCAAAGGCTAAGAAATTGTAGATTAGAACACCCCTACCTCAAATTGATGAAAACCCCCAATTTAAGCCCAAGAACCCTAGAATTTTGAACTCCCAAGAGTGCACCAAATGATGATTGGCTCCTATCAAATTAACGGCCTCGAAGATCTCAATAACTTTGCTTCACAATGTTCTACCAAATTTCTAAAGGAAAAAGCAAGATCAAGGCTTGAAGTTGCAAAAAGAAAAAAAAAAAATGGAAACTGCCGAGAGCAGTCTGGTTACAGCAAGAGAGAGAGAGAAAGGTGGACTCGTGTAATAGCCTTATGGCCTTTTGTGTGTTTATAACATGTGTGGGGCCCACTTGCTTTATTTCTTTTAACATTAATTATATATATATACATATATATCACAACATTACATTCTCCACAACTTTAAAAGATTTCGTCCCCGATATCAGGCCATACCTGAGGGAGAAAACAACTCTGAATACTTGGAGCGAATCTCCTGTTCGAGCTCCCAAGTAGCCTCCTCAACTCCATGATGCTTCCAAAGAACCTTTACCAACGATATCGTCTTTTTCCTCAACACCTTCTGTTCTGTGTCAAGAATCTGAACTGGTCCCTCCTCGTAGGGAACATCTTCATCAATGTCCACATCAACCCAACTCAAAATGTGAGACGGATCCGGCTCATACTTCCGTAGCATCGATACATGGAAAACATTGTGGACCCTGTCCATCTGCGGTGGCAATGCTAATTTGTAGGCAACCTCTCCTACACAGTCTAAGATCTCAAAAGGTCCAATGAATCATGGCGACAACTTACCACTCTTCCCGAACCTCATCAACCCCTTCTTTGGAGAAACCCAAAGAAAAACATGGTCTCCCACCTCAAAGGATAGCGGTCGTCTCCGCCTATCTGCATAACTCTTCTGTCGGCTCTGAGCTGTAAGCAATCTCTGTCTGATCAGCTTAATCTTCTCGGTAGTCTCGAGTACAATGTCGGGTCCTAAGGCGGCTGTCTCGCCCACCTCAGTCCAACAGATAGGAGACCTACAAGGTCTACCATACAACGCCTCAAATGGAGCCATCTGAATACTCGCCTGATAACTGTTGTTGTAGGCAAACTCAATAAGTGGAAGGTGATCGTCCCAACTACCACCCAAGTCAAGTACACAGGCTCGAAGCATATCCTCCAAGATCTAGATGGTACGCTCCGACTGGCCGTCTGTCTGTGGATGAAATGCAGTACTAAGGTGTAACGCTGAGCCAAACGCTGCTTAAAGTCCTTCCCAGAACTTCGAGGTGAACTTAGCATCCCTATCCGACACAATAGCCACTGGAACTCCGTGCAATCTCAAAATCTCTTTCACATAAAGTACACCGAGTGTCTCTGCGTCATCTGTTGCCTTAATAGGCAAGAAGTGAGCCGTCTTAGTCAATCTATCGATAATGACCCATACGGCTTCATTTCCCCTCCGTGACCTAGGAAGGCCCGTCACAAAATCCATTACAATCTCCTCCCATTTCCACTACGCTACCGGCAATGGCTGCAATAAACCAGCTGGTCTCTGGTGCTCGGCCTTCACCTGCTGACAGGTAAGGCACTTAGCTACAAACTGTGCAACATCCTTCTTCATTCCATTCCACCAATACTGACGTCTCAGATTGTGATACATTTTGGTACCACCTGGATGAACTGCAAAGCGGGAAGTATGAAACTCTCGTAAGACGTCCTTATGACAAACTGTAAGAACAACCAACAAACCCTTAAATCATAGACCTCCATCTGCATGTAAGGTCCAATCCTTCACGGTCTCGCCACTGGAGATCAAAGTATAAATGGCATCCAAATCTGAATCCTTTCTCTGTGACTCAATCACCCATCTAGCAAAAGTGGGTTGAGCCATGAGACTAAACAAGAATGCTGACTCACTGCCATCATCATCATCATCAAAACAATACAATCCTATTTCAGCCAAATCTTCCAGCATCTTCCATTTTCGAATGGCTAAACTAGCCAAAGTCCCACGAGATTTCCGGCTTAAAGCATCAGCTACCATATTTGCCTTGCCAGGATGATACTGCAAATCAAAGTTATAGTCTTCTAAGAATTCAACCCATTGCCTCTGTCTGTTGTTCAAGTCCTTTTGGGAGAAAAGGTACTTGAGACTCTTGTGGTCCGAGAATACCTCAAATCTCTCACCATACAAATAGTGTCTCTAACACTTCAAAGCAAATACAACTACCGCTAACTCTAAGTCATGAGTAGGGTAGTTAAGCTCGTGAGTCTTCAACTGTCAAGACCCATAAGCCACTACTCTATCATCTTGCATCAGTACACAACCCAAACCATCACGTGAGGCGTCACAATAGATCATATAACCCAAGCCATGCTCAGGTATCAACAACACCGGAGCTGTAGTCAACCTTGTTTTCAACTCTTGAAAGGATGACTCACAGGCCTCATTCCATGCAAACTTGATCCCTTTCCTTGTTAATCTAGTCATAAGAGCTGCCAAACGGGAAAAATCCTTCACAAATCTCCGATAATAACCCGCTAGGCCAAGGAAACTCCGGATCTTAAAGACATTCTTGGATTGCTCCCAACTCAAAACTACCTCTCTTTTTGAAGGATCAACTGAAACCCCACCTTCCGAGACAACATGTTCCAAAAATTTCACCTCTTGTAGCCAAAACTCACACTTTTCATACTTGGCGTACAAATGGTGCTCTCGTAGAATCTGCAACACTATACCCAAATGGACCTCGTGCTCCTCCCGAGTCTGTGAATACACAAGAATATCATCCACGAAAACTACCACAAACTGATCCAAGTAATCGTGGAAGACACGGTTTATTAAATCCATGAATGCCGCCGGCGTATTGGTTAAACCAAAAGGCATAACAAGAAACTCGTAATGTCCATACCGCGTACAGAACACGGTCTTTGGAATATCCTCCTCTCTAACCCGTAACTGATAATAGCCTGACCTCAAGTCAATCTTCAAAAAACAACTGGCTCCCCTCAACTGATCAAATAAATCATCTATCCTTGGTAAATGATACTTGTTCTTGATGGTGGCATGATTCAACTTTCGGTAATCAATGCACAACCTCAAAGAACCATCTTTTTTCTTAGTGAAAAAGACCGGTGCACCCCACGGTGACACACTCAGTCGGATAAAACCTTTCATCCTCAAATCATCAAGTTGCTTCTTCAATTCTTCTAATTCAATCGGTGCCTTACGATACGGTGCCATAGAGATTGGCGCGGTACCAGGCATCAAATCAATAGCAAATTCCACCTCTCGGCGTGGAGGCAACTCAGTCAAGTCCTCTGGAAACACATCCAGAAAATCACGCATAACCGCTGGATAATCAACCCCATAAAACTCAACGTCATCATCAGCAAAAAGACTAGCCAAGAAGAATGTCTATCGATCTCGACCCCTAACACCATAAAATGAATGAGTGAGACACACCGATCTCCCACAAAACAGAAACAATCCCCATCTAGGGTACACACTGAAACTCTGCACCTGAAACAATCAATGACAGCTCTAAAGGATGACAACCAGTCCATCCCAAGAATGACGTCAAATCCCATCATCTCGAGAAGGATGAGATCGAACTCAAGAACACATTCGGCAATTGTGATGGAACAACTCCTACAAACTCTACTAAGAGCAACTGAACCCCCGATAGGCGTGTCAACACAAAGCGGTCTGTCTAACTGACTGACCTCCAAACCCAATGCACGTGCAAATGATGAAGCAATGAATGAATAAGAAGCACCGGAATCAAACAATACACGAGCCCAAGAATAGGACATAAGAAACATACTCCTGACAACTGAAGGACTGGATGGTGACTCGGCTGGAGTGAGTGCAAACACGCAACCCTGGGTCCTCTGCCCCTGAGAACTGCCTGCCTGATAGCCAGACTGCTGAGTAGGTGCACTCGAAGAAGCTCCCCTACCAGGTCGAGAACTCTAGGCTGACATAGTTGGCTAAGACGGCTGAGGTGGTGATGGTGGTCGAAACCCTGACTGAACTGTGGCAGACTGCATCTACCTCTGCTGTGAACCTCCACCTCTGCCCAAACCACTGCCCCGCTGTGGACAATCATTCACCCTATGGCCCTGCTGGCCACACCAGAAACATCCACCAGACGCCACCTGAATCTGAGTACACTGGGACTTGTGATGCCCTGGCTACCCACACTTGAAACAAATCATCTGAGCTACCTGTGTCTAAGTGCATTGGGACTTGTAATGTCCCAACTGCCCGCATCTGAAACAAGTAACATTCGGTCTAGAAGACCCCATGGACAATGAAGCTGTGGGTGCAGATCTGACTGGCTGTTGTCCCCTGAACCCTGACTTCTCATGCTTCTGTTTCTTACTTGATTGACCTTCGGAGAAAGTACTCATACCCCTGTTGTGCTTGTAGGACTCCCTGATAGCCTTGTTGTCCTTGCTCTTAACCTCAACCACTAAAGCCTTTCGCACTACTTTTGCATACTTTGTCGGTTCTGAAGCAGCTACAATTGGCCTAATGGTAAGATCAAGGCCATCAACAAATTTCTCTATCTTTCCTTCTTCATCATTAGCAATTCCTGGTGCAAACCTCAAAAGTGATGTAAACTTGTTTTCATACTCTGTAACTGTCATGCTTCCTTGCTTCAACCCCTCAAACCCCTTCTTTAATTCCCTCCGCTTAGGCGCCGGAAAGTACTTCTCATAATATAACTTCTTGAATGTAGCATATGTCATAGTATCCAGATTATGGGTGTGAGAAACGGTCTTCCACCAAATCTCAGCATCGCCCACAAAATTGTAAGTAGGCAATGTAATCTTCAACTTGTCCGTTGCCAAATTCATGGCATTAATATGCTTCTCCACCCTATCCATGAAACTATCCGCAACAAGCGGATCTGGACCACCCTCAAACAAATTTGGCATCAATTTCACAAACTTTGCAATGTGGTAAAGAGTATCATCTAACTCATTTTTCTTTGGAGGTGGTGGTAGTGGTGCCGGTGGTGGCACAAACTGTGACGATGACGCACTTGTCGGTCGATATGCATAAAAAATAGTCTCCTGAATGGCTAACCTCAATTGCTCCCTATTTATCTGAAAAGGTGGGTCAACGGTCCCCCTCGCTTGTCCCTCTCTTGGTGGGACCAAATCACGCAATAAGATATCTTCCTCAACTTGCTCCTGATCCCTTTCCACAAGATTGGAACTAGAACTTTCCCCGGGATCCCTTCATGTTGCCATGAAGCTATAAAAAAAGGAAACGGATCAATTACGATGACACTAAAATACGCACGAGAACGGAGTCCTCACACGAATGACTTGACAAAAATGGAAACACATAAACACCTTCCATACTTCCAAAATATCCAACTAAGGATAAACATAATCATATTAATATACAACAACATTAACCACTTAACACGTAATGATATAAGCATTTAAACAATTAAGCATGCCTTTTAAATAATTAAACACCTTAACACATAAACATAAAAGCATGCAATCACGTAAGCAATTAAACAAGTAAGCAAATAACTCAACTCCCCATGCAATCCTAGGTAGGCCACAACCCGTCGTCCTAATGGTATTCGAACCATCGCTCTGATACCAAATTTGTAACGACTCGAATAGATACCAAAATAATAATAAAAATCTATAAAAATTTCGGCATGACTTCTGCAAAAAATGTCCCTCAACAACCTGTAAAAATACAAAAATAAATGCAATGGCCTCACTGGGCCTTAAATCTAACTTATCCTGTCCCAACGCACAATTCAAATATTATACTACATTCCCAAAATGGTTACATACATACAAAAGTCCCGTTCCTCCATCTCATCCAAACACGGAACCCACTTAAGTTACATCAAATTACAGTCCATAAAATGTAGCTAGAATTAAAAGTCCATAGCTTATAACATTATTCTAATTAAACTAAAGTGTCATAAGGTAGTTAATATTACATTTACAAAATACTAGAGTCTAATACAAAAGATAACAAAATAGAATGGGTCTTCAAGCTCATCTAAACCTGTGGTGGACCGTCGTCCGCCACCTTTTTTCCATATCCTGAAAAAATGTTACAAATAAAGGGGTGAGCATAAGCTCAGTATGAAGTGTCTAAGACACACTTCTTATGTCCCCGTGAATCCATGCAATGAATAGATAAAAAGTGAACGGGATCATGTTATCAGGAAACGCACATTCTCAACCACAATAACAAGTATATAACAAATATCAACCAATCACAAATTTACCACGATGTCATGAAGTGCAATATTATGCAAATATCACTCCCCATTTCCGAAACAATTCCGTTTTAACAACCAAACTGTTAGTGTAGTCCGACCCAAGGCACCTCCATGGCGTCACGAAAGGAAGGTTGATTAACTATCCATGACCACAAGGCACCTCCAAGGCATCGCATCCGGCCTAGTTAACTCGACTACATTCCCTTTTAGACTACACCAACATCACAGACCACTAGGCGCCTCCTAGGTGTCTGGTTTTCGCAACACTTTTAGAAAATATTTTCCCCAAAACAATTTTATTTGTTCTAACAATTATTTTTCCCCTTTTCTCTTTCCCAATGGATGCATGAATACTTCATGCTTCAAATCATTAATTTAACTATATGTTTTCACACATTTCCATTTACATCATCATCAGAATTTAATGAAAATTTCTAAACATTCATTTCCTTTATTTATTTATAACCATAGCATCCATTTTTCTTCAAGACAATAAATAAATAAATAAATATTCATGGAACATACAACACATTAAACACTAAGCATGCTCATTTATCGTAATAAAAATAGACATGTATATGAACTCAAATAACATAAGGAGCACAATTATCATTGTAATTACAAAGAACTACAACAACAACAAGCTAAGTAATTAAAATTTAGCATGCTTAGAATCAAATTTAAGGGAAAAAATTCACCAAAGGCCAAGAAATTGTAGATTAGAACACCCCTACCTCAAATTGATGAAAACCCCCAATTTGAGCCCAAGAACCCTAGAATTTTGAACTCCCTAGAGTGTACCAAATGATGATTGGCTCCTATCAAATTAACGGCCTCGAAGAGCTCAACAACTTTGCTTCACAATGTTCTACCAAATTCCCAAAGGAAAAAGCAAGATCAAGGTTTGAAGTTGAAAAAAAAAAAAAAAAATGGAAACTACCGAGAGCAGTCTGGTTACAGCAAGAGTGAGAGAGAAAGGTGGACTCGTGTAATAGCCTTATGGCCTTTTGTGTGTTTATAACATGGGTGGGGCCCACTTGCTTTATTTCTTTTAACTTTAATTATATATATATACATATATATCACAACATTACAGTTTCTTTTTTCATTTTGGAAGCTGCGAGAAACAGTTTCCTGATTGGTTTTGAATGCAGAAGACTTAGGGAAAAAGGATGAAGATTTGGGAAAGAAGTTATACCTGCTATTTTTGAGTTGAAGATGGATATGGTAGCTCCTTGTAGGTAAATTGATCCTTGTCCAACAAGGAATTGGATTTGAGGAATACTTGTCCAACAAGGAATTGGGTTTTGAAGACTCTATAAATAGATATGGGTATGAAGGGTTTAGAGAGAAGAGAGAAAATATATAAAGGGTTTAATGGTGAGTGTTGTAAGGAGAGGGGAGAGTATATGTAATTCCCGAGTGTATACATGTTGCCTCAAAAGAGATGATAAGTAAGTGAGTGGAGTTTTGACATGTGGTTGTATATTCTCTTCCTTGATTCATAATAGTGAAATCTCTCTCTCCCATAGACTTAACCCTAGAGTTGGGTGAACCATGTAAAATATTGTGTTGTGCGTAAATGTGTATGATTGTTATCTCCATATATGCTTGTGTTGATGTGATAATGCTTCCACTGTATGGGATGAAGGAGGGATTTAACTCTCAACAATAGCCGACCGTTGAGTGGGTTAGAGGGAGTTAATTATCCCCAACAGATTAATTAAATATTCTAAGCAAATATTAAAATTAACATATGATTCTTGCCTTTTTGGTAAGAAGGCCTAAAGGGTTTACAATTGGAACATATTCTTATGAATAGGAACATTAGCATGCAACAACAATTTGAAATTTATTTTAGGGATAAAATCATAAAACACACTGTATTATTAAAAATATGCATATAATGCTTAACAAAATAAATCAATTAAGGACATGCTTTGAGTAAAATGGATTCACAATTATTTGCTGAAGGGCAGAAGTGTTTGCGAAGTGAAGATACCTGGACAATGCTCTTAGAGTTGGAGAATACTGCTGAACCTAAGACAATCCACTTCATCTACTTGTTACACACCAGCAGTTACTTGACTCAGGCTTTGATACCAAAGCCAAATTGAGCACCTTCATTACCTCCACTACATGGTCCTTTCCATCAAGTATTACCACCTTATTACCATAGCTTCATTGCACAGCAAACCTACCTAATCCCAAACCAAATAGCAGAGATAAGTTCTTATGGATCCCTTCTTCCTCAGGTCTATTCTCCATCTCCAAAACACTTAAACACTTTAACCAAAACCTTGCCACATTACCATGGACTCACCTCGTTTGGTCAAAGCCATCTATCCCAAAACACTCATTCATTATGTGGGTTGCAATCCAGCGAAGACTACCAACACTGAATAGGAGATACACATCTCACATTAATTCAACCTTATGTGTACTCTGCAGCACTGAATTGGAGTCTCATGACCATTTATTTTTCAAGTGTTCTTTGTTGTCCAAAATATGGTCTAAGTATACCATATACTATAGTACTATTTATTTAAATATTATGTAAAAATATAATGTTTATACATATATATATATATAATTATTATAAAATAATAATCTACATATATAATTACTTATAATATATAGTTTAATATAATAAAATTAAAAAAAAACTATAAATAAAGGAATCTGATTAAAAGTCGAGGCTAGAATTTGATTCTATGTCCTTAAGACAGATTCGCCTCGCTATGGTGCTAACGGACTCAGTGACGTCTATCTCCCAGGATACAACAACTTGTCTTCCCTCAATAGTAGCACTGTAAACCAAAGGAATTGGCAAACTGGCTCAGTGTAGTACTCTCTGACTCGAAGTCGGACTCGAACTCACTGACTAAGGCTTGAACCCACAAACTAGAGCTCAAACTCACAAACAATTATAGAAG